AAGGTGTGCTATATTTATGGGATAAAGTGCTCAATATCAGAGATAGAGCATATGTAAATATAAAAGTGAACATTGAAGTCAACACTCAGAGGCGACTGGCTGTTTCATGTTAGACGCAATCGTCAGGCCGCCTTCAATGTTCACTTTTATATATATATATATATATATATATATATATATATATATATATATATATATACACCGTATTTTCCGGATTACAAGACACTGCAGCTTGGAAGAAGCACCCTAATATTGGAAAGAAATTTCTAAGAAAAAAAAGTAATTCCCATACAACAACACATTCACCATGCGCCTCTCACATACTGGCGCCACGTATTGTTTACATTAATCACTTGTCCGATTTTTTTTTGCATGGCAATGACATACTATTCAAAAGCAGAAAGGCTACCACCGCTGCTATTAAACAGAGCTTGTATAAGCTTGTGACTCGACTCTAGGATGGTTTCTATCCTTGGAAATATTTGTAACAGCTAAGTACTGAAGTTACATCATATAAAAAGCTGAATTAGATAGATAGCTAACATTATAGCACAATGACTCAACACACAAATCCACGTCCCTATCAGTCAAGCAAATTAGGTGACCGTCCAAGCTTACTTGAGCCTGAGCATCTATATACATAGAGTGCTGATGTTATATATATATATATATATATATATATATATGTGTGTGTGTGTGCGTGTGTGTGCGTGTGTGGGCGTGTGTGTATACAGACAGAGAGATAGAAAGAGATGGAGAGACGGATTGATTGATAGTTATAGGCTGCAGAATGCGTTTAAGCATAAACAAACTGTCACCGCTTAGTGTTGACCTCAGTGACCACTTTTATATTTACATACACTCTATCTCTAATATTAATCACTTTTATCCATAAATATAGCATATCTTAAAACTATATTTTTATCATATATATATATATATATATATATATATATATATGCGATATAGATATATAATATATATATATATAAATTCCAACGTTCACAGCATTAATCCAAAAGAGGGCTCGATACCGATAGTAGAGCAATAATTATTGATTGGTTTAAAAGCCTCAATAACAAAAACAGCAGTACCTTCATCCAATTTGACATCGTGGACTTCTATCAATCGATATCTAAAGACCTTTTTGAAACAGCCTTGGAGTTTGCCGAGTTTCACTCCGATATTTGTAGGGATGAAATCGACATTATCCTAAATTGCAGGAATTCAATTATGATACACAACAATGAACAATGGATAAAAAATCTGGTGAAAACTTTGATGTATCGATAGGATCGCTGGATTCTGCTGAATCATCGAACTTGGTCGGACTGTTTATTCTATACAATCTCACAGCTCACAATGAAATTAGTCTAAATAGCATAGGGATTTATAGAGACGATGGTTTGATGGTAGTGAATGATTCTACCGGAAGCAAGGTTGACAGGTTGAGGAAATGGATTAATAGAGTGTTTAAATCTTTACACCTCAAGGTTAAAATTAATTCTAACATAAAACAAGTAGACATCTTAGATGTAACCTTTAACTTAACCATAAATAATTTCCAACCCTTCTTGAAAAATAACGCTAACCCCATTTATATAAACCCTAATTCCAATCACCCAACGCCAATTATTAAGCATATACCATCAAACACTCATCTAGCAAGGAAATATTCGATAAACACAAAATTATCTATAACAAAATCCTTACCGATAGCGGTTACAGCTCTCCCGAAATTAAATATAGAGAAAATTCTAGTTATTCTAAAAACATAATAGAGGAAGGAGAATAATTTGGTATACACCTCCCTTCAACAAATTATCCCGTACCAAATTAGGACACACATTCTTAAATCTAATTAACAAGCACTTCCCTACGGAGAGTAAATGAAGCCAGATCTTCAACCACAATACCTTAAAAATTAGCTATAGCTGCTCTAGAAATCTAGATAAAATTATTTAATCGCATAACAATAGAATACTGAAACTTCATAGAGAAAATAAACGCAATCTAAATACAAGTTCTAATACACCCCAAGAAAAAAGGCTATGCTTAACCAAATCCATAGTGCATATGTGCTATATCTCATCAAATGAGGACCCCAGAGCTGTATGTGGGGTCAGCTAGCAGACCTTTTAAGGATAGGTATTACAATCAAATGAACTCCTTTAAAAGTACGCCAGACGAAATATGACATCACTTTCGAAATATTTTTGGAAACTCAAGGAAAAACACCTAAGGTTAAATGGAAAATCCTAAGACAAGCCAGAACCTGCAATTCTCTGAGCGAACATTGCTTCTTATGTTTACAGGAGAAAATATATATCATTGAACTCTTTAATAACACCCAATTATTAAACCAAAGATATGAAACCACCCTTCTCTGTAGACATACTAAGGATCTAACACTACAATCTTGTTAAATTCTTAATTCTATAACTATAAATGTTTTAAAATTATAAATCACCTTCTTTGATATATTCCCTACCCTCTTATGTACATCTCCACTAATTAGATTATGATTCTTAAATTTTTTTGTTCATGTATATTACTGGTAATATTTTCAGGTAAATCATTTCACACTCATACTTATTCTACAAGCTATACGGTCCAGGAATATTTCAAAATTTGATTATAAAAAGTTATATTAGTATCCCTTATTTTTTTTTAGAGGAAATCACCACTTCTAAATTTTAATCCAAAAAACACTTTCATTGATTACAGAATTAGTAGTGATAACCCTAACACAAATACATGCAATTCAGCTCTAGAATTTTCTAATATTTCAAAAACCGTCCAATCAATTCACACAAAATTTTCACACAATGTTGGCAACACTGACCTGCGCAATCACTAAAATTTTCGTACTGATCTGCGCAATGTAAACAATCTGGCACTATATAAAATAACTGGCGCTATATTTATTATCAGCACGGTGATTTGAGCGTGCCAAATTATTAGAAAGGTTTAGTAAAATTCCCAGAATTGAGCAAACAAAACGTTTATTAATGTTGCACGTGAATGTTTATGATCAAAAGAAGCTAATAAGTAAGATAATCAAACAAATAATAACAGATACAAACAAAGGCACAGTTTTAAACAAATTAATAGGGAATGTGCTTTCCCTGTTTTGAAATTACTTGAAGAAGTCGACGATCCATAGAATTTGTTAATTGTAGGATGTCATCTGCTGTAATGCCGCGAGATATGTCAAGAATTGCTTCCCATAACTCAGCGTTGCTCCTGAATTGTCGTTCGTTGGCGTACAGTCTTTGCTTCATGATACTCCAAATGTTTTCGATTGGCTTCAAATCCGGAGAATTTGCTGGCCACTTCATTTTTCGAGGTCTATCGAAGCCTAACTGTTTCAAATATTCAGTAGTCTTATGAGCAGCATGTGAGGGAGCATTATCTTGCATAAAAACAATGGCCCTTCTGAAGGCAACTCTTTACCTTTTCATCCACGGTTCAAGATGCTCCTTCATAAACGCTATGTATGCATCAGCAGTCATTTTGACGCCATCTGGTACTCTCCATGGGCCCACTAATGTTTTTCCAATAATACCACCCCAGATCATTATGCCTTCACCACCTTGTTGGCGTCTCATACGCTGATGGCGATTCTGTCCATTCATTACCCAGCCTTTGCACCATTTACCTGGCCCATCAAGCTCGAGTTTCGTCTGTGAACAAAACTTTAGACAAGTCAATCTTCATATTGTTCTCGGCCCATTTCAGTTGATTTTGAATGTGATTTCTCCTCTACGGAGGCTTCGATACAAGTTGGACTGTTGTTACTATTTCCCTCAGATACCGACACCGAGTACTTTTAGACACAGTAGGATCCCCAATGCAACTGAAAAGCTCTTAGCTGGTAAGTCCAGGGTTCTTCGTGGCCTCTCGTTTAAGTCATGACATGGGACATCGTGAAATAACCCTCGGCTTGCCTTTATATGCCCTTTTGCGTACTTGTGCAGGGTCAGCGGTGAACTTTTTTACTGTTTGATGACACCTCCCTATCATTTTAGAAATTTCTAGGGTAGATTTACCTTTTGAGAGTTCTGAGGTGATAGTTTTCTTTTTACCATCACTTAAACTGCTTTTACGGCCCATCTTTTCAGTAAATTCTTACACATTTCTAATAATTTGGCACGCTCAAATCACCGTGCTGATAACAAATATAGCGCCAGTTTGCTTACATTGCGCAGATTAGTACGAAAATTTCAGTGATTGCGTAAGTCAGTGTTGCCAACATTGTGTGAAAATTTTGTGTGAACTGATTGAACAGATTTTGAAATATTAGAAAAAAAGTTATCTTGATAATAATTTGGCACGCAGTGTATATGATAAAATTATAATATATATATATATATATATATATATATATATATATATATATATATAGTACGAAGCAAAGAATTGGACGCATTCATAGAAAGTAGATTTTTGTATTTTTACCAAGACAAGTAAGGAATAGAATTGGTATTAATACAGGTGAGCATATGTACATTATACAAGTCAAATATGATTTGTTGTGTAACCTTTTGCTTTAATGACGGCCTTACTTTTTCGTGGCATGCTATAGACTAAATTCTTTAGTAAGTTAACGTTCTTCGCCATATTTAATTGTCGAAAAAGCTCATCTTCTGTGTTAACTTTCCTATTACGGGAACGCTTCTCTATTATTACCCAAAGGTTTTCAATTGGGTTAAGGTCAGGACTCTGACTAGGCCACTGGAAGAGATGCAATTTACCCTGGTCGTGCTTCCTCGCTAGATAACGTTTATTCTTTAAGGAAGTATGCTTAGGAGAGTTATCGTGTTGGAACGTGAAGCTTTGACTTTGGGCAAAAGGTTTTTAGAAGAAAGCCACATTTGATTACAAAGAATTTTGTTGTATTGATGCTGGTCTATGATTCCCTTGATTTTGTACAAATTACCAATTCCTGCTATTAAGAATGCACCCCAGACGTTGATTTTTTTTTATCGTGTTTAACAATGCCCTTGGTCGTCACTGGAGTATTCGTTTCACCGGGCGTACACCAAACACGTATTTGTCCTTCATATCTAAGAGTAAAGGGAGTCTCGTCACTCCACATAACATCTTCCTATTCAGATTTACTCCAGTCTAAATGAGCATTGCACCAAGCCAATCGTGCCCGTCGATTGTTTCCAAATACGAAAGGTTTTTTTTATGTATTTGGAAACAATGCCTTTTGCTTAAAGTCTGTTTCTGACTGAAAAATCATTTTTGACTTGTATAATGTACACCTGTATTAGTATCAATCAACTATCTATATTTCTCATGTTGTCTGTCTGTGTGTCTGTCGTGGGCGTTGTTAACTCGTCCAGGCCGCATTTCTCACCCGATTTCGATGCGGTTTTCACCACAAGTTTGCAAATGGCTGCCATAAGGGCATGACGGAGCCCGATTTTTGAGTTCGGACTCAGGTTTCGAAAAAATCGATAATCGAATAAATCTGCTTACAGAAGGAATTATTGCATTTCAACCAAATTTGACACCCTCTTAGAGTCTACCATTAGAAGTGTTGTCCAGAAGTTTCATGACTACGGAACCCTAAACAGCGCGGAAAATCGATAAAACCCCAAAGCCGATATGCCCAGATTGCACCTGAACCGCATGTCGGTTTTTAGCAAAAACCAACCGGATTTATGAGGAGGCCATGGGAGTCACCATATGAAGTTTCAAGTCTGAGCGCCCCCCAAACAGAGTGCAAATTGACAATCGGTCAACCCTTAAAAATGGTTTTCCGGTTCGGTATTTCCTAAATGCAGATTAACTTAAGGTCACGCTATGCGCGGGAAGAAACAGGTCAGTGCGTGCAGTGGAGGGAAGAAAATATTTGACCTCAAATTCTGGAATGGGTACAGGGTCATTGAAATTCGGCTTTTTTATTCCTGCTACCAGGTCTGACTTTTGAGCCACAAATGACATATTCGACTTTAACACTTTTGCTTTAATCGTCGCATCTTACCAAAAATAAGCACTTCCTTTATTCGCGTCTTTACTGAAAAAAAAACCGCATACGTGCTGATTGAAAATGGTTCCGCCTCAGCAGTCCATTTTCCAATTCTTTTTAACCTTTTCCCCAGCCCAGGCCGCATCCCAGATCTGACGAGGAGTTTTTTCAGCGCTAAACAGCAAGGCTTCCTCCCAATCCATTTCAAAGCTAATGCCGGCAAACGGTTAACGGCTTTTCGTTGTCGCATAAATCAAACGAGCAAACGCTTCATTGCAGCTTCTTATCGCCGGCATCACGTGCGTTAGACCCAAGCTGCATATGCAGCAGGCAGCTTGACCCCGTTTACGGCCAAGCCTTGCGCTTGCCAAATCATTGTCCAGGCTACACCAATCAATGACAAGTCACGCTCCCTTTAAATACCTTCAGCGCGGCTGCATTCGCACTCACGTCTTGATTTGATCGTCATTAACACATCTGTCCTTGGATTAATTGTCAGCTTCCTGCTACCGCAAGTTACCTATTTTTTTAAACGTTTGCATTACCCATTTTATCTCCGTGTGCTGCCTCTACTGCGCAGCCGAGTACATCTTAGCGTTCCATACCTATTTCTACCTTTTCGGTTACAGATGATCATATAGCGTCTGCTTCAACCTCTGCTTTGCACTCTTCTGCGTGCCGTGGCGATGACCAAATTCGGCAGCTCTGCAAAGGCTGCAAAAACACCCAGGTGAGGCAACCTTAGCAGGCGTTCTAAAAAGCCTCACCGGCTAAGGGGAAACGGGAGCAGGATTCCATTGAGTGCGCCTCCGTGGGGGAGAAGCGGCTGGCGTCTACTTCAACCTCTGTTTTGCTCTCTTCTGAGTGCCGTACCGATGACCGACCCGGCAACTTTGCTAAGCGTGCCAAAATACCATGGCAAGGCAACCTTAGCAGGCGTTCTAAAAGAGCCTCTGCGGCAAAAAGAAAGCAGGAGGAGGAAACCGAGGTAGAGGCCTCTTTGAGGCTTTCCAGTCAATCTCAACGGAAGCAGGATGTTTTATCACATGAAAAGCTTGGTGAGCGTAACTACCGTTTGTACTGCAAATCAGTTTACACATATTCGTTGAAAAGTAAGAGGAAACTATCAAAAGGCTTGCAAGACAACAAAAAAGCGGCAACTTCCATTCGACGATCCCAGGAGACCACGGCTAAGAAAACCGCACGTAACGCAGCGAAAGCTGCGGCAACGTCCATTCGACGGTCCCAGGAATCCATGGCTGAGAAAACCGCACGCCATGCAGCCGACGCCGCTGCAACTTCTACTGCAAGGGCGTTGGAAAGTTCCGCACAAGGCGGCAACGCGATGCAATTTCAACTTCCGCTGCTAGAGCTGTAGAAGGACCTACTGAAAGGTTGCAGACTGTTAATCAGCGCCGCCATGCACAGCGAGGGCTCTGTAGCCCACCAAAGCAGTTTTGGTTTAAGCTGGCGTTCAACTATGAGCCAGTTTTGAGGCTTTCCGGTCGCAAAGACCTCCAAATAGGATCCATGTCAGTTGTCTGTGGACATTGAAATGCCAAAAAAGTGGCCTGGAGAGTCTGCAGGTTTAGGTTGTTCAGACGGTAAGGTACAGTTGCCACCTTTTCAAGAGCTACCTGCTCCGTTGAAAGCACTGTTGGAGAGTTCCAGTCCGGATTCCAAACATTTCCTCGCAAAAATCAGACAGTACAATTGTGCCTTCCAGATGACCGCGAAGTCGGTTGGAATCCCACCTTCAAGGTTCAAGGTCATGTTTACCACCGGATTGGGTCTCTTTTGCCTGAAACTGACACTTATTCAGTCTTTCTACAAATATACTTCATAGCTGACTACAATCAACAGGCAGATGCCCGCATGAGCATTATTCCCGAGAACGATAAAGGCCAGGACAATCATAATGAGTCTCCAACAGATGCTCCACGAGACAAACAGCTATGTCCGCAGTTTTAAGTATGCTCTCTTCTGATTTCATTATTGTAATTGATGCTGACAAACGGCCTCAGGGAGAGCACGAACGTCGTTACAATGCTATCGCAAGTAACGAAGTTTCCGTCATTGTCAGCGGTGATCAGCACAACAGACGTGACATTGTTATTGAATCGTGCGGCAGTGGGCTCCGAAGAATCAGTGAAACGCACCGGTCCTACGATGCACTGCAATACCCACTTCTCTTCCCTTACGGAGAAGATGGGTCCACCTTAAAAACAGTGTATTGCAGGGCTTTCTACGCCTACCTATTGATAGTACATGAGGGTGCATTCAATCATTTCATAGTAGACATGGCTGCTAAGATGGAATCCGAAAGACTCTGTTACATTAGATTGAATCAGACTAAGTTGCGCTGCGACTCTTACATTCACCTCCGTGATGCTTTACGAAATGACGCTGATCCACGCAATATAGGCAAGATGTGCATATTACCTGCAACGTTCACAGGCAGTCCACGATGCATGCACGCGAGGACGCAAGACGCGATGACATACGTTCGTAAGTACGGCCGACCAGACCTATTCATAACTTTCACGTGTAACCCAAAATGGTACACAATTGCTAAAGAACTTATGCCAGGGTAATCGGCCTACGACCGTCCAGACCTCGTTGCGCGGGTTTACCATCTGAAGTTGGGAAAGCTACTGAGTAGCAGAAACGCGGCCTGCCTCACGCACAAATACTAATCGATCATCTTATTTCTGCTGAAATTCCTGATCTGTCGGCTGACTCTGAATTGTACGAAATAGTGATAACCAACATGATCATGGTCCCTGCGGGCCGCATTACAATTACACCAGCTGTCACAACAGAGACAGCAAATGCACCCGGCAGTACCCACGAGATTTCGTGAGCGAAACCATTACAGGGAGCGATGGTTATCCACTGTACCGGCGAAGGAGTCCCGCTGAGGGAGAATTTACAGCCGTGGTAAAGGGCAACCAAGTGGATAACAGATGGGTAGTGCCACCAATGTCGAATATTGCCATTCAGTACGCTCCATCAAGTATGTATGCAAGTACATCAACAAAGGGACTCGTGCTGCAATGTTTGGTATTAGACAGGAAGGTTCCGTAGACGAAATCCAGGACTTCCTTGCAGGGCGCGTCATTAGCAGCACAGAGGGCCCTTGGCACATATTCAGCTTCCCCATCCACGAACGCTTCCCAGAAATCGTCCTGCTTGCTGTACACCTAGAAAACGACGAACTTATTTTTCTGCGGATACAGCAATGGATGTGGCTGCGCGTACAAAATACACAACGCTTACAAACTTTGTCGACAGGACGAGTTTGCTAGGACTCTACTGTACCCAGACGTGCCTTCATACTACGTGTGGACAAAAAAGAACACCTGGGCTCGGCGTCGAGGGCTATCCAGGCGTCAAAAAAGACAATCCGAAGGGTATTCACGGTTCTCCCATCGCGACAAGAATGTTTTTACTTGCGACTCCTTTTGCACGGTTAGTGGTCCAACGAGTTACAATAACTTACGGACGGTTAATGGAGTTTTATGTGACACTTTTCGTGAGGCCTGCCTCCGTCTCAGCTTTTTTGGAAGACGACAGCCAGTGGGATGCCACAATGGCTGAGGAAGCTCTTTTAAAAATGCCCTTTGCTATGCGCCACCTCTTCACCACAATCTTACAAATGTGCGAACCCAGTGATCCCAAATCACTTTAGGACAAATACAAGGACTTTTTGTCCGAAGGCATACTCAGAGAAGCGAAACTGCTGTGTCCAACAGTGGCTCTTACATTCAACGATAGAATTTACAACAGGGCGCATATAATCATTGAGAACCTGTTTGTTGAAATGGTGGGGGTATCTCGCCGCTATTGCCCTTCCAACGCCAGATCGTTTGGCTTCCTCCAGTCTCTCATCTGAGATTATGCGGGAGATATCCTACTCTGTTGAGGAGCTCAACGCCTATGTCACAACAAATGAGCCAAAACTTCTCATAGACCAAAGGGCCACTTACGATGCGGTTCTTGCATCCACCAGGCAGGATACAGGATGAATTTTCTTCCTGGACGCGCCTGGGGGAACGGGAAAAACGTTCGTAACAAAACTGTTTCTTGCAGAAATTCGGCGCCATGGCGCAGTGGCCCTAGCAGTAGCGCCTTCGGGCATTGCTGCCACATTACAACCGGGTGGCCGAACAGTGCACTCAACGTTTAAATTTCCGCTTGACCTGATTAAGTCAGAAACAGCTGTATGCAGTATAGCCAAGCAATCAGGTCTAGCGGAGGTACTCAGGCGATGTAAGCTCATCGTCTAGGATGAAGGCACTGTAAGTCCCAAAACTGCACAAAAGGCTGTAAACCACTCTCTGAAGGATATTCGAAACTCCGATGACCTTATGGGAGGTATAACTGTCCTTCTATCCGGTGACTTTCGCCAGACCCTCCCCGTTGTACCTAAGGGGACAAGGGCCGACGCTATTCGTGCGTGCTTGAAATCGTCACAACTTTGGCCCACTGTTAGAGCATTGCACCTTACCACCAACATGCGTGCACACCTAACTGGCGATGTTGGGTCCGCCGAATTTTCGAATTCATTATGAGCCCTTGGCAAAGGTATTATTCCAGCGGACACTAATGGTTTTGTAAACGTCCATGGGTTGTCTACAGTGGTCACAACGCCAGCAACACTCAGGGAATCAATTTTTCCTGATCTTCAAACCAACTACAACAATATTGAGTGGCTTGCTGGGCGGGCCATTCTTGCCCCAAAAAACACCACTGTGACAACCCTTAATAGACAGCTTCTGGAAACTGTGCCAGGTGTTGCACGTTAAAAATCCATTGACAGAACTCCAGACCTCGCTGAAAATGGCGAACTTTCCAGTGGAGTTCTTAAACAGCCACCCCGCTGGTCTCCCTCCTCACGTTCTGGAACTTAAAGTGGGGATCTCGGTTATATTGCTTAGAAACCTGCGTCCACCAAAACTCTGTAATGGGACCAGGATGGTTATTCAGGCCCTACACCCAAACATCATTGAGGCCAAAATTATAACTGACTGCGGTAAAGGGAAGCAAGTGCTTATCCTAAGGATGCATTTGTATCCCTCAGATGCCGACGTACCCTTCACTTTCAGAAGATCCCAATTCCCAGTCGCACCCTATTTTGCTATGACAATTAATAAGGTCCAAGGACAAACGCTGTCTGTCACTGGTGTACACTTAGAGGAGCAGTGATTCTCACACGGCCAACTCTACGTGGCCTGCTCTCGAGTCGGCAGGCGCGAGGATGTGTTCCTTTATTCACCCTCGCAAAAAGCTAAAGATGTCAATTCTCTTTCCTCACATCACCATACCATATGTACAGAAATGAATGACCCCGACCAGATTACGGGCCCTTTCAAAAATGCGTGCAGGACCCCTTCGTGCAGCAAAAAAACGATAAAAAGCCCCGGTTCGACCCTGCCATCAGCTGTCACTTTTTGACTTCTTTTCACGCCCAGGCTGCAATTAACGTCAAATGTCGATTCAACTTCCGACATTTACGGCGTCAGTTCGTAACTGAGACAGATTTTCAATTTGGACTCAGGCTTTCAAAAAATTGGTAAATCGGCTGGTACTCCGGTATTTGGGCGGATTACATTCTAAAATTTCGGGCGTTCTTTACAATTCAACCAGAAATTCCTACGCGGCCCAGTTAGAGGTGCCTTGCATAGAATGCCGTGTGACCCCATCGTGACTCAAAAATCGATACAAACCTCCGTGTTGACCATGCCCTCAGCAGTCCATTTCCCACTTCTTTAAACGTTGTTCTTTCTCCCAGGCCGCATCCCAGACTCGATTTTTCAATTTACGTCATTGTGTCATGCCGGAGCCCGATTTTTTATTTGGGACTCAAACTGTGTAAAAAAAACGATTAACTCACAGGTGGTTTTTAAGTTGAATGTCTCGCCTGCACTACGCGGCCCAGTATATCTAAGCTTTTCACTTCATTTTGGACTCTGTGCAGTTGAGTTCGCGTTGTTAAACACTTTTGAGCTCTTCTGATTTGAACTTAAAATCGGATCAATGTATGGTTTCCAAAGTACCGGCTTAACAAAACAAGGGCAACAACAACCCCGCCCAAGTAGTATGACCAGTTTCAATATTTCAGGAAACTGGGTTGGGTGTGAAAAAGTATTTGTTGTTAACATTCTTTTTTCATTCGGTTTTTCCAGTTACGAGTCCTTTTTTTTTTTTAAAGCTAATCGTTTTGTGTTCATTTTGTTTAGTTCTTTTTTGTAACAGATTTAATGTTTAGTATAGAGCTTAGAAAAAATTTGCAGTGTGAGATAGGCAAGAAGTAAGACATGTAGCAACATCAGCACGGCAAAGGGCACTCCTTTAAAGGCAAGGAAGGGCAAAAATATTTTAAGTCAAGTGATAGCGATTGCTGTATGAGTCGTACGATTTTTGAATCAAGCACGGGCAACTCCGGGCCATGCTGCTAGTCTGTTTATATTTCTGAGATGAGGTATTATGTACATTATTTACATTATTCGGACTATTGTCCTCATCTTTGTCACCATATTTATTACGACGTTTCGGCCCTTCAGTATCTGCCTATATTTCTGAGATGAGGTATTATGTACACTATTTACATTATTCGGACTATTGTCCTCATCTTTGTCACCATATTTATTACATCCTTCAGTATCTGTCTATATTTCTGAGATGAGATTTTATGTACATTATTAATATTATATTATATATTATACGCTCCGGCCTTCTTCAGGTGGTTGGAATGTCGAACAACCCTTTATTTCGCTCACTGGGGTAGACTGTTCTAGTTCCACGTGCCATGTTTAATGGATGTCAGTTATCAGTTATCGCCTGTTAATTTCCCTCTGAAAGTTCTCCACTGCCTTAACCGGGTATTGAACTCACACTCTTTGGGTCCTAGAACAGTCTACCCCAGTGAGCGAAATAAAGCATTAAGTTTGACATTCCAACCATTCCAGAAGGCAGAAGCGTACAACCGCCGAAACATTGTAATAAATATGTCGACAAAGATGAGGACAATAGTCCGAATAATGTAAATAATGTACACCCATATTAATAAACGAATTCCATTACACACTTGTCTTGGTAAAAATACAAAAATCGTCTTTCTATGGATGCATCCATTTTTTTGCCTCGTAGTGTGTGCGTGTACATATATAGATATATATATGTGTGTGTGTGTTTGTGTGTGTGGATATAAACAATTAGATATTAGCAACTGCATATATGTGCGTTAGCGTGCATACACAGGCAAGTAAATAAATATTTACTTAATTTAAAGAGCTAAGAAGGTAGGTATATATATATTTATTAACACACACACACACACACACACACACACACACACACACACACACATATACATATATATATATATATATATATATATATATATATATATAATACGTTGAAGGAAGACGTTGAAAGACACTTGGGTCACTAACACAGAAAAGAGAATGTCTCATTCTTATTCAGCCCCTGACAAATTTTATTTTTCGTCGGTTGAAATAAACTTATTCCCCTTCCCCATATGAGGTGATTTGGGATTTTATTGTTTATTAATATCTATCTATCTATCTATCTATCTATCTATCTATCTATCTATATATTGTGTATATTTAGTCAGCAATTTTTCATTGATGCATGTTTCATTAAATAATATAGACAAGTTGTGTCTATTTATTTTAAGTAAGTTCCTTTCATATTGTCTGATAATCTTAATAACATTATCATTGAAGGACGAAAGGAAATCACCATATTGATACGTGTTTATATCCTATCTAAGCTTTCGGCTTACATAAACATGTATCAATATGGTGATTTCCTTTCGTCCAAAACTTGTCTATATTATTTAATGAAACATGTATCAATATATATATATATATATATATATATATATATATTGTTGTGTTTAAATATCTACATTGAGACAACAGATGATTTAAGAAAGGTGAGATGTCGCCAATTTTCCGTTAATAATTTTGAAATCATTACTCATTTTCGCTTCAATAACGGACTTAATTCTTCGTGGCATGCTATAGACTAAATTCTTTAGTAAGTCAAGGTCCTTCCCCAGATTTTTCCAACATTCTTTTAATTCGCGAAAAAGCTCATCTTCTGTGTTAACTTTCCTATTATGGGCACGTTTGTCCATTATCGCCCAAAGGTTTTCAATTGGGTTAAGGTCAGGACTCTGACTAGGCCACTGGAAGAGATACAATTTATGATGCGCTTTGCATGACTCCTGTTTTTTTTTTTTTTGTGTGGGTAGTAAAATATCCAGATATACATCATGACAACAAATTGAGGCATTTATTTATGAATATATATGGTTTGATTATTGGAAGGTTTGTTTGTTTCGGTTGATAAAAGTTCTCGTAATGTGGTTGTTAAGTGTTCTGATATTTGGGTTGTCCTGTTGAATGAGTGAATTATATTGTTGTGATAAGTCTATTATTAAAAAGTCATATTCAACAAGAGGAAGTAATATTCAAGTAAAACTTATCTTTAGTCTTCATTCCCGGAGAGATTCATTTTCACATGCTCTCATGGTTGTTGAAAAAAAAAATCCCACCAGATTCAGAGCATGAGAGTTTTGTAGCCGTTGCGAATTATTGTCCGTAAGAGGACACTTTATCGCATATCGGTGCTGCTGGCGTGCATGGCTGGTTGGAACTGGAGGCATGCTGCAGATTGTGGGCCAGAGAGCTGGATGGAGCAGTGGCCGATGGAGAACACATGGTCCGGTGGATAAAAGCGTTGGCTGGATCAAGTGACTTGGCAAAAGAGTTGTGAGTTCGATACCTGGCAACAGCAGTGGTGAACAAAAACTTGGAGTTGAGTTAAAGGGAGGTAACTGGAAGAGGCATGGCACGTGGAACTAGAACAATCTATCCTAGTGGGCGAAATAAAGGGTTTAGTTCGAAACTCTAATCGACTGAAGAAGGCCGGAGTGTACAACAGTCGAAACATCATTAACATGACAATAAAAATGAGGACAATAATGTAAGTATTTTAAAGTGTATTAAGTATTTTATGCTATCATTTACATGCTTCTAGCAATAAATATACTGGTTTTACATTGTTTCCTTTTGATACAAATTAAATTTAAATTTCAACAAGGGAATGACTCCTGGGGTACTTGGATAAGTATATTTCATTTTGATCAAAGGAAGTAACCGGGAGCACAACCCCACCCCACTGAAAATTTGTTCCCTATAATTTAAATTAAATTTAAATTTGAACAAGGGAATGACTCCTATCCAAAATATAGAAGGAGAAAACCAGAAGATGGAGGTCACATCGACAAGATCATTGATTAATAATGAAATGCATCATTTTTTCTCCACAAATTATAACAATAATTTAAAATCAATCATCATTTTTTTTACAAAAAAATGTGTGACACGTATCAAGACGCGGGTAATTCGGCTAGTAAAACATGTTTTATGAAAATCGGCCAAAAACTAATAGTTATTTACACTATTTATATTCGAACTCTTGTCCTTGTTATCACAACGTTTCGATCGTTGTGCCCTCCGACCTTCCTCAGGTGTGAACCGACCTGGGTAACTTACAGGCAATTCTGAACTGAACTCTTTATTTATTCTATGGGCAGAGTTAAGGGATAGCTCTTCTAGTTCTTATTTTATTTCAATACTGTTCAGTTATTGTTCGCTCGTTTCCACTAAGTGCGTGTACACACAGGGATTGAACTCACATCCACTGTCAACAAATTCATAAACCAAAGTGGGTAAGGGCGTTGGATTGGTAAATTTGTTGACATAGTGATGACATGAAAAAAAGAAAAAGAAATGAAACGATATAAAGTAGAAAAGTCAATTTGATGGTTGAGATTTAAAGTGGTAATAAGTCAGATTATGGTCACGACGTCAGGGTAATCCCTTTTGGGTCGTAGCAGCATCCCATGTACTGCAGCCAAAGTAGCAATTAGTGTGCACTGGGTGAAATTGACGGACGAAGGATATCACTCTTCAGGTTGGTTTAGGATTTCTTCTCCAAGACTGGTTGACACCTCAGTGCAAGAGAGCCTAGTTATCCCTGTGATTTAAGCTGTAACTGGTGAGGGGGAAGAGGCGGTGGATTTCCAAAAGTATTTGTGCGAAAGTGAAAGTGAATATATCGGCCAGAATTCGAACTCAGTTCAGCTGGTTTCTCATTATGAGTCGCTAGCCTGCACCACCAAGAAAGTAACAGATGAAATAAAAATAGGAAAATGATGAGAGAGATTCTTTAGCAAAAAAAAAAAAAAAGATAAAAAGGATGGCAAATAAGACAGTGTACAAGTAAAGAAATATGTTCTTTCATTCCTACTAATTCTACGAATTTTTTCTTTCAGTTTTTCTTTCTTCCATACTTCTTTCTTTATTTCCTTCTTTCCTTCCTTCTTTCCCCTTCCTTCATTCTTTCCTTCTTTCTTTCTTTTTATTTCCTCTCTTTCTTTCTTTCTTTCTTTTCCCTTCCTTCTTTCCTTCCTTCTTTCCTTCCTTCTTTCTTTCCTTCCTTCCTTTTATTTCCTTCCTTCCTTCCTTCCTTCCTTCCTTTCTTTCTTTCTTTCTTTCTTTTCCCTTCCTTCTTTCCTCCCTTCTTTCTTTCCTTCCTTTCTTTTATTTCCTTCCTTCCTTCCTTCCTTCCTTCCTTCCTTCCTTCCTTCCTTTCTTTCTTTCTTTCTTTTTCTTTCTTTCTTTCTTTCTTTCTTTCTTTTTTCTTTTCCTTCCTTCCTTCTTTCCTTTCTTTCTTTTCCTTTCCTTTCTTTTTATTTCCTTCCTTCCTTCCTTCCTTCCTTCCTTCCTTTTATCTCCTTCCACTCTTTCTTTCTTTCTTTCTTTCTTTCTTTCTTTCTTTCTTTCTTTCTTTCTTTCTTTCTTTCTTTTTCCTTCCTTCTTTGCTTCCTTCTTTCCTTCCTTCCTTTTATTTCCTTCCTTTCTTTTATTTCCTTCCTTCTTTCCTTCCTTCCTTCCTTCCTTCCTTCCTTCCTTCCTTCCTTTCACCCATTTCGATTACTTCTTTAAACACTTAACTCTTATAATGACTCTTTAACACGCATTATAGTTCTAATCCGAATGATAAAAGCCTTGGCACATTTTAAATGGCTAACATTGTTTAATTGATCTTAACGTCTTTCCAGCTTGTTGCCGGATAAACTGGTCAGGTTTTCAACATCCGGCCACCTGCTCGTTTCTAGTAGCCATGCTGACTGAGTTACACGTGGCCTCCACACGTTACAACTTGATTTACATTATATGGTGGATTCAATCTCGGATAACTAAATAAAGTTTACTTAGTGCTGTCTTTCCTATCTACAACAATACCATTTTTCTGACAAGTGGGCTTAACTGAATCTTAGGAAAAACTCAATTTTAGGATAAAGGCAACGTATTCGGCAATTTTCGACAAAGGAAATCTTTTAATTGGAAAACAAGCTACTATATATCTATTTCATTCTGTTAATATCTATCTATTGAGAGAGAGAGAGAGAGAGAGAGAGAGAGAGAGAGAGAGAGAGAGAGAGAGAGAGAGAGAGAGAGAGAATTTTGTTGCTTAGTTTGTGTAAGATAAAATTTAAGATAAAACTTGCAATCTCACATTAAACGGAGAAATCTAAGGCATTTAGACATTATTCTGCAAATGTGTGTCTGTATTAATACAGAGAGTTATTGTATCTATCTATCTATCTATCTATCTATCTATCTATCTATCTATCTATCTATCTATCTATCTATCTATCTATCTATCTATGTGTGTGCGTGTGTGTGTGTGTTTGTGCGTGCATAAATATACAAGAAAATTCATCTTAACAGAAAGAACATGAACAGAAGAAAAAAGAAGTACTAGTATATATATATATATATATATATATATATATATATAGAGAGAGAGAGGGGGGAGGGGGAAAGAGAGACAAACAGAAAGAGAATGAGTGAGAAGCATAAAAGAATGAGAGAGAAAGATAAAGAAAATTAAAGAAAAAGCATAAACAATTGAGAAATGAAGAGATCAAAATGGAAAAAAATAGTGTTAGTTTATATACAGAGAGAGGGGAAAGAGAGAGAGAGAGAGGAAGAGAGAGAGAGAGAGGAAGAGAGAGAGAGAGAGGAAGAGAGAAAAAGAGAGAGAAAGAGAGCACAAACGAATGAGAAAGAGATGATAGGAAAAATTATGAAATTCTTTCTCTCTTTCTTTTTTCTCAGTTTGATAATATCTATTTACCTATTGAAATAGAGAGCGAGGAACAAAAGAAAATTTGTATATGTATGCGTGCGTGTGTGTATGTGAGTGTGTGTATGTGCGTGTGTGTGTGTGTGTGTGAGAGAGAGAGAGAGAGAGAGAATCTTATTTAGCATATTTTACTTAAGAAAAAAATAAAAGTTAAAACTTGTAATCTGGGATTAAGTAAGGATAAATTTAGACATACTTACAAATACATATATTATGAGAAATAAGAGATATGCTTATCTGCCCCTGGCAGTTTAAGGTTAGCCAATCAGCTTACAGTTGTTGATTGGTGTGCTTTTCTACCTCTTTTTGAAGAACACTCACTCTTGGTAAGACTTACGAAATGAACACTTGCAGAACCAGCTAACTCTACACCGTTATCACCACAGAGTCCATAGATGGTGAAAATATCGATTTTTCTTCAGCAGATAAGTTTGGTCGCAGACACGATTAAGTTCGCAAGGACTTATTTGTAATATTATTTAATACAACTTGTATAAATCAGACGTCAGTCGCCTTCTATTCTTTATTTATTAAAACGTCTGCATCCACCACGTGGGAATCTTATATGGGGTCCACTTCAATTCATCATAATATGTATGTATTTAGACCGACAACAGAGTTATTGTATGTCTATATACCTATGGAATAACGATATATATATATTTTTTTATATATAAAGAACAATTTTAGGGGAAAGAATTATGATAAAGTGGAATAAGGTTTCGTGTGATTCGTTTCGTCCTTGAGGACTTTATCAGACTAAGTTTATGCGTATATCTTTTTGCTTATGTTTCCATTAATTTTATTAAATATCGCACATTGTGATAATAGAAGATCTGTCATGAATGATGCAACTTTGTAAGAATATGGACGTAAATTTACTATGGATGATCTAGCGATTAAAACATTTTCTAAACATTTCAGCTGAGTAAAATGTTTTCTCTTTTAATTATAGCAGCATTTTTTAAACCAAAATTGTGACCAGTTTCGCTATGGTCAGCAACTAATGCATTGGATGTGTTTTGAAAAAGATCCCTTTCGTGTACATATAATCTTTTATTTAAATTCCTTGAGGTTTCTCCTATGTATTCCTTGTTGCAATCATTACAAGCTATAGAGTAAATCCCTGCTTCAAGTTTTAGTTTATTATTTTGCTTTGTATTAATTAAGACTTTTATTGTTTTAGACGTAGTTTTTATATTGAGTTTAGATTAATTATTTTCAATTGTCGTTGTGACAAAGTTAGTGGTGAGAAAAACATATTTTGATTTGTTGGGTTTATCAGGATGGATCGCTTTTCTATTTTATTGATTGAATATGAAATAGGGTATTGGAGGAGCTTGAAAGTATTTTCGATGTGTTTCTTCTCGTTATGTAAATACTAAGGGCTTCAACTTCTGAGTGCTCTCAGATAGATTCCGAAGATTATTCCGGATTTTATTTTGCTACACAGACACACAAACATATATTTATATATACATATATATTATTTCAAATATTACTAGAGTGGATACTACGTATATGAAATAGACGCCTTCTTTTTATTTATTTAATAAACAGCGTGTATTTCGTCTATCAGAATGCACAGGCTGATATAATACATACTTTCGAATAAATAAATAAAAATAAATTAATAAAAAAAATAATTAATAAATAAATATATATTGTATTACTGGGTAAGATATTCATCGATATCGGGTGTTCTCAAACTATATTTGGCACCCTTTTCATCATATGTCTTCCTATTGTTATCTGGCTTTCCAAGATTGTCTGTTTTAAAAGGTGCATTCCAAATAATATGCATATATTATTGAAAAGATTCATTCTTTTCCGTATTTGTACAGATTGTACAGATACATTTACATGGATTCTTTTTATTGAGGGGTTTTACAATTCAATAGCAATAAAAAGTTTTGATAGATTTTAAAACTTGAATACATGTAGAGTAATTTTTTAATTCCTAACTCAATAAACCGAAGCATACTTCAATAAACAAAACCTTCAATAGAATGCCAGGATATTATAATTCAATAAACAAACTTCTGTAAATATAAAACAAGAAAATATTTTTCCCTCTCCCCCGATTCTACTCTGGTTGAGAACCCTTGGTCTGTATTGTATGATATTAAAAAAGATAGACATTCTGTTTATTGAATTCAATCATCGTCTTTTCCAAACGGTATGAGTAATACCACGGAATTTGTGAGTAGCGGTGCTATATCCAGTCCATTCAGTTTCTTCTTCGTCATCCGTGCCTGTTGGTACATTTGGTATGACGCTTTCTTTGTATCGAAACGGTCCGGGTTCGATTCTCGGTAGTGGATGTGCACTACTGATGAGTCCCAAATAGGACGAAACGACCGTTTAGTGCATTCTGTTGAGGATGTTTCTAGACTCGTTGAATTACTACATAAAGTTTTCTTTACTAACGAGTTTCATACTCTGATGAACTTTATTAAGGAAAATGCAGGAATTTTATTTTGTATTTATAAACAAAAGTAAAAATTTACGTTACGTTTCCAAAATTTTTATATTTAAGAACACTCTAAAATATTCTCAAAGCTGATTGTGCAAGTGAAGGTGAACTATGGAGGAAGCTAAGTGATGCAATTTAATGCCTAATAAATGAAAGTGAGTAAATGTTGGTGATGTTGTTGAAGTTTATTTTCCTATTTTTTGTATTTTTTTAAAATTTATTTATTATTAAGATATTTTTTATTGATTGATTATTATATTATTTATTTACTTATATATATATATATATATATATATATATATGTGAGAGAGAAAGAGGTGGGTGGAGAAAGGTGAATTATGGGGAGGGGAAGAAACAAAAATGTAAATCAGAGAGAATAAAAGTTAAAATTGAAATAGACACGTAGATAAATAGGTATATAAAAAGTGAAATATAGGACACTGTAGAACTCTCAACCCTGCCATTTTATCTTGATTTCATGCCGTATAATTTGTGGGTGTGTATATATCTGCATGTGTGTTTGTGTGCGTGTGTCCGTATCCAACAACTCATTTTTACTGGTTCTACTTTGAACAAAAAAAAAAAAAGTGTGTGTGTCTGTGTGTGTGTGTGGGGGGTGCACTTAAGCTAAAGTGGCAGAAATAGTTTCTATGCTTTTCTAATCAAAGAATTTCTGTCATTCAGCATCGATGGTGGCCGTCTGGAACCGGGCTTCTTTCTTTCTTTCTATTTCTTTTTTAAATTCTCTTTTTCTTTTTTTGGTTTAAAATAAAAATACATATCTTTTATTTTTCTTCTCTTTGCCTGCTTTTTTTTTTTTTTAATGAAAATTCTTTCAGATTCTTTTACGAGACCTTCAACAAGGGCATATTTTTTTTTATTTTGATTATTATATAAACACACAAAATCGCCCTTGTATAACGACGTTACCCACCCCAAAATAAATAAATAAAAAAGGAAAATACAATGGCAAAATTATTCTTTTTTTTTTTTTTTATCTGGGCGACAGTATTCTTAAAATAGGTGGGCGCTATAAAAGAAAAAAGAAATACAAAGAAATTTCAATAGTCTCCTATTGAAGAATGGGCTGTTGCATCTTGAAGTGTAGAGTCTAAGGATAGAGAGAAAATGAGGTGAAATGTAATAAAAGAGAAAAAGAACAAACTGTTTAATGAAAGCGTGCTCAGCACTCCTGGCAATTTGTTTTCCCGCCACAGGTTAAATAGAAGGTTGACTGTAAATGTCTAGCTAGTCTCATAGAAAAAGAAAGCAAAGGCAAATGAATCTACTATCTTTCTCCAGATATCATGACAATTTACAGAAAA